CATAGAAATAAGAGCTTGTAAAATACGTAAAGATTTAAGAAATTATTCTCTGACAATCAAATGTCTCAATGACTTTGAGAGTAGCAATTTGAAAGCACTGCGACGCTTGACATAAATCACTGCAAGAATTAGCTACCAACAATCGAGAGAGTGCTTTTCTATGCCCATGTATTTATCTAATTTTTGTTCACCCGTTAGAAAAAGAAACAGCCGAGCCCGAGGTGAGGATGGTCAACGGTAAGCCCAAGAAAGTCCGGAAGCCCCGCACCATCTACTCCAGTTTCCAGCTCGCTGCTCTACAGAGAAGGTTTCAGAACACTCAGTACCTCGCGCTTCCAGAGAGAGCCGAGCTCGCGGCATCGCTGGGACTCACACAGACACAGGTTCGACAATATTTTATTAAATGTTTTATTGTAATGTCTTTTATGTAATACTCATATAATAAAAGGGCTATGTATTTTAAATTCAAATATTAATATGAGCTTGCGGCAACGTTGGGAATCACACAAGCGCTTGTTTGACATTTAATAGCCTATTTTTCAAAGGCTGTTAAAATAATAAACGATGTTAACGACATTATAAAATATATTTTTTATTAAGAAGCATAAATCTAACAGAAACAGCCATACTGCTTTATTAAGGAATTCGCCCTCAGAATCTCATACAACCTTTTGTTTCTTCACAGGTGAAAATTTGGTTCCAGAATAAGAGATCAAAACTGAAGAAGATCATGAAAAACGGCGAGCTGCCTCCAGAACACAGTCCGAGCTCCAGCGACCTGATGGCGTGTAATTCACCGCAGTCTCCCGCGGTCTGGGACTCACAGGGTCCTCAGAGACCTCACCATCAGCCGCAAAATACTAACACACCGGCATCCACGTTTCTGGAAAGCGCCAGCTCGTCCTGGTATTCCTCCACCGGGGCAATGAATTCTCACCTTCAGGCACCCGGCACGTTACAGCACTCGTTGGCACTCGGATCAGGAACGTTGTACTGAAATTGGTTTATTATTTTGTTGTATATTGGACTGGTGTTAACAAATTTTTTTTTGAGGAATATGCAATGTATCGATATGGCAGTCCTAGAAGAACGTGTATAATGTGTAAATTGTGTGCATGTAATTTATTGCATTTGGAAGAATTATTAAATGTTTTAAATGGACAATGGACCCAAACATTCTGAATGGTGCCTTGAATTTTGACCTCAACGCGTACATCCGACGATGTGCCAAAACATTAAGGACAACCCCAAATAAATGTGT